TTAACGTGCTAGTGACACCCCTGCTTTTCATTGGGGGGATGGTGCATTGTCTGCCAAGTCTTTTGCTTTCGTAGTGAGTGATTTTCGTGTGCAAGTTCGGTACTAGTCCCTCTAGGATTTTCCAGGTGTATATAATCATGTATCTCTCCCTCCTGCGTTCCAGGGAATACAGGTTTAGAAACCTCAAGCGCTCCCAGTAATTGAGGTGTTTTATCTCCGTTATGCGCGCCGTGAAAGTTCTCTGTACATTTTCTAGGTCGGCAATTTCACCTGCCTTGAAAGGTGCAGCAATATTCCAGCCTAGATAGAACAAGTGACCTGAAGAGTGCCATCGGGAAAAGATTCTCTATCATTTCTTAAGAAAAATAATTTTTTTTCCCAAAAATTTTTCAACACCAGGAGACACTTCAGGATTTGAGGTTGCGACAGTCAAAGGGTTAAAAAACTCATCTGCCTAAACCTCAGGGACTGATTTAAGGAATGGCAACACGGGGACAAGTTTTCAAAGTATATGCTGCAGCTACATGAATTAGTATTAATAGTAATAGCAGCAGCAGTAGTTAATAAAATAATAAAAACAGACGGTCAGCCCCCACTAACCATTTGCCCATGGGCTCCACAAGACTAAATTCAGCCCTGCTACTTATTTTTTATATAAAGTTTTACTACAACTAAACAAATATCCAAATATATTTCTACCATTTTATCCAGCTTTTCAAATCTAAAGTTTTTTTTTTTTTTTTAGTTTTGGTTTAAAAAAGACTTATTCACTTTTGGTCACTGGGTTCAGATGAACACTATCAAATTATAAAAAATCTACCAACATATGCTGCAAAGAACTGGTATAGTTCAATTCTTGACGGTAACAATGAATGTGCAAACTACAGTAATTGATCAATGCTACAAATCAAATCGTAGACACCTGCCAAACATTACAGACAGCATGCAAATTTCTGTATTTATATTACCTTTTTCTCCAAGTTGTACGAGGAAGAGCTTTTTATGTTCCTTCGGTTTTGTAATGTGTGAAGGTATGTATGGATACTGTGGAGGTTCAAAGTTTGGTCTCCACCAGTTTCCAATGATGTCTTCAATGACCCACTCCTGTTTGACACCATCCTGCCTCCCTAGTGTCTCCGTTAATAGCCGCTTAAGACCTTCCACTTCATCCTCGTCTGTGTTGAGTTCTCCACCTGGTCTGTTGAGAAAATTTTAAGCAATAACTATTTCCTGTGTGTATAAGTAGCATGCTCTCATAGCAGGACTGCGGAGTCAAAAGCAATTCTTGGGTTACTGGAGTTAGAGTTGGTAAAATATAATTAAAGAAGTTAGATGTGCCATAAATAAAAGTCGGAGTCGAAGGTTTTATGTGCCTACTCCACAGCCCTGTCTCACAGAGAACTTAAACTAAACAAAAATACAGGTTAAACTATGTAGGCCATGCAAATTAATGAAAAGTCTAGTGACAAAATTGCAAAGAGCATTTGACCAAGAATAAAGAAAACTAGTACGGAATAACACTTGTAGAGATATACGAGTAGAGAAAACTCACTATTCATCAAATTAAACTTCTTTAACTATGAGGACTTACAGTTTAAAAAATGTGGTGCCTAGCTGGAGGAGAAGGACATGAGGGAGGCCATGCTCATGCACTAAGAGCACAGCTTCAACACTTCGTCGCATTCCAATCTTATCAAATTCATCTCGCATCCTTTGGAATCTTGCTGGAACACTAGGATCTTTCTCAAATAAAGGTTCTTTGGTTCCAAAGGTATAGTTTGTCAAAGGATACCTGCAAGAAATATCTACAATTATGGTGTTTATCATAATCCAAAAGTTACTCATAGTTGTTTACAAAAGTGGAGAGAGATAAGGATTTGAAAGAATATAAATTTTGCTGCATTTGCATTTTTTTCTGTCAGACAAACATTCAAGATGGCAGAGAAAACTTAAAATTTTTATTTACAATTGATATAGGTACTGCACATTTATCTTACCTGTGTTTAATAATGATCAAGCCATTATCCCTGTAATTTTTCCTTTCCAATTTTGGATGCCTGATCCAATACTGTGCAATAAGTATGACCCCCTTAAACCATTATTAAATATATGATACTGTACTAAATAAACATCAACTTGATTATTCCCCAAGGAGGGCAATAGCTATTTCTTGATTTCATGAATAGAAAATATGTATAATATTCATAATTAATATACCATATATAAAATAATTAAAGAGAAAGTTCAAAGAATAGAATAAACAGAATGGAGGTAGTAAGTGCTACAACACTGGAAATTAAAGGAAAAATAATGATAATAATGAAGGCAGGACACCATGAGCATAGCTGATTCCTTTGCTACAAATAGACAATAACAAAGTCTGAAATACCATTCACTACCATGTATCATCTTTGGCAGACTGCCACAAATGAGTATAACGTTTTTGACACCAACCCAGAACTCAGCTATTTTGGAGATACTGTACTGCTTTTAGTTTAGGTTCAAATACACAAACGAGCAGTTTGCTGAAAGGCCAATTGCATGGTAACTGGGTAGCAACCAGTTTATAGGTTAGGTTACGTAATATAAAACAGTTAACCACAAATAAGCAAATTAAAAGGTAACAGTTGTAACACGTCTGGAAAAGCAGTTGCACATCTGTTTACATTTGGGCTGCCAGACAAATAGCCTCAGTCTTTAATGATTACCCTGGAAGATTTAACCATTTTTTCCATTATTTAACAATAATGTTTACTCTCCAGGACTGCAAACATAGCCGCTCATCCAGGTTAAAGTGCTGATAATAACATATGTACAGACATTTTATTTCCCCTCTTTACTTTAATCTTTGAAATAACCTACTTCCTAACAGTTTCCTATTGTACTCGAACAAATACTGCAGCTTTTTCTATTATCTCCCTCTAATACTGTACATCCTGTTCACAAAATTTCCAATATGGCTCCAAAATATGACATTCTTACACTAATTATCTTTATCACAAATAGTACAATCCAAATATCCCCACTATGAATCGAAGAGAGCATCCTCCCCAAATACAGTGCTACTTTACAAGTGATAATATAAACCCAATGTCATACAGTATTGTGCATGCCACTCATGCAAACATGAAAATAGTCACTCTGTTTTGCTCTTTAAGTACTATTATGTAAAACCAACAAAATTTCTAAAAAAGTTTGAATTATTTTTGCTGTACTGTATTTAGGGGCTCTTGAGAGGCAACCGAGTACTTCAAGGAAGTGGAGTAAAGTCCAATTCCTTGAATCAAGAACCCCTGACCATGTTGCTACACTAGTTGGGAGAAAAACGAAACATATATAAATACAAAAAAAAAAAAACCAGATTTAAGCAAATTCCGAAAAACAAATCAAACAAAAAAAATTCCCTAGATCATGAGAGGTCAATAAGACCATGTGCAGTACACAGGTATCTTCATTTCTGAAAAGTTTCACCTATGCCTTAGGCAGGCGAAACGTGTCAAATCAAATCAAATCAAATCAAAGTTTTTTCTCTATAAGGATTACAATGCGGGGTTTACAGATTTTGGTTATTGTGTGGTTTTACATGTAATAAAAATACTAATTACAGAGGGGGCCACTAGAACACCTAGCAAGGCTAGGCATTTCGGGCAAACTTAGATTAATTCTTAACCCTAAATTATTAAAAATTGTGGAGTAAGTTGACTAAATACTAAGTGACTAAATACTAGTTTGTGAGTTTAGCAATGTGAATGCTTTTGTTTTGGCACAATACATAGTTTCTATATTGGAGTATCACAGGCAAACTTGTGACTAGTTAGGAATCATTATTTTAATTTTAAGATATGTATTTCTGTGCTTATAGTCAAATGGGTGAGTGAGTGAGTAAGTGTGAACCACCAGGTGGTTTTTATGTAGTTAGTTGACGGGGTGTATCAGGGAGATAAGATGTTTTCTAACGGTAATTAAGGCACCCAAGTGCGCCACAGGTCTTATTCACCAATTTGTTGGTTTTGCAAGCAATTAATGATACAACAGGTCAGCTGCAACATTCACAATAAAATTACCAAAAGCTTTACATAACGTTATCAAACGAGCATATCCCAATAAGCTTCGCCACGGCTCCTACCAAATGACAAAAGCTTTGCATAATATATGTTATCAAACGCACATTTCCCAATAAGCTTCGTCGCGGCTCCTAACATGTATTAAGCTTGAAGCTTAAGTTAACAACAACGGTAAAACATAGTAATCTGCTGAAGGTAGAGCCACAAGCGGCGGTCATTTTGAAGATCACTACAAATTCGGTAAATCACAAACGCAAATCTATTTCTAAACAATTTCCCGTCCAAAACGTACAGGCTGATTGCTCTTTTAAGCGCCATTAAGGAAGTCCCGTTGTACTTAGCACCATAAGATGGTGGTGTGGAGTTTTTCGGCCATCCAGTGGCACCAGATCCCCGCTTCTGGGTCGCCATGTTGTAAACAGTGAAGCCGCTAAAACCATCCCTGATTGGCTGTTTCAGACGACAACAAATCTTCTAATTGGTCAATCTAGACAGTGGGTCATACACCTTTATAAACTTAAAGTAACTATACCTTTATTAGAATATTCCTGAAAAAAGTTACTTGAATAGCTTTACTGTGCATCCCACACACAACATACTCATAACTGCTCAAGGAAAATCCAAGTATTTTATCCCTACTGGCATATTACAAGACATTTTGGGGAAAAGAACCTTATTTTACCTATTCTAGGAAACTGGCAAACATCACAACATTGTAACGTGTAGTGACTTATTTCATGACATCGTGTTTAATTCAATAAAAAGTTTATTAATTCTATAACTTGTTTAGCAATCACAATTGTAGGAGTCCCATCCCTAGGTATACCAAGTGAACACAAGATATATACAGAGTACATGGTATATACACAAGAACCCCAGTGGAAACAAGTCACTGACATTTTTGGGTTATCATGGGTAATTTACACTGTATAATAATTGTACTTATGTGTACTTGTACCTAAATAAACTTACATTGAGCTAAGAGTAGATACACTAAGAAATGGGTACAAACACTGAGTGCAGGATATACACACTGAAGACAAAGTACATACATTAGTCACATGGCGAATATATTAGGATAGGGATAGGATTTCGTTCAGATTTTTAACCCCGGAGGGTTAGCCACCCAGGATAACCCAAGAAAGTCAGTGCGTCATCGAGGACTGTCTAACTTATTTCCATTGGGGTCCTTAATCTTGTCCCCCAGGATGCGACCCACACCAGTCGACTAACACCCAGGTACCTATTTGCTGCTAGGTGAACAGGACAACAGGTGTAAGGAAACGTGTCGAAATGTTTCCACCCACCGGGAATCGAACTCGGGCCCTCCGTGTGTGAAGCGGGAGCTTTAGCCACCAGGCCACCGGGCCTGGATATAGTACATGCACTAGGAATATAGTCTGGCATAGTAACATACATTATTATCACACAACAGATGGACATAAGGGTAATGGGTTCGACTCGCAACTGAAGGGACCCGGGTTCGATTTTGGGTTAGCCAAGATGTATTTGCAAGTCTTCTTACACCTGCCAATGTTCATGTAGCAGCAAATGGGTACCATATCTAGGAGTTAGTTGGCCCTAGTGGGTAACATGCTAGGGTAAGACCCAGGACTGTGGGTAGCATGCTAGGGTAGGACCCAGGACTGTGGGTAGCATGCTAGGGTAGGACCCAGCACTGTGGGTAGCATGCTAGGGTAGGACACAGCACTGTGGGCAGCATGCTAGGGTAGGACCCAGCACTGTGGGCACCGTGCTAGGGTAGGACCCAGCACTGTGGGTAACATGCTAGGGTAGGACCCAGAACTATGGAGTAGCATGTTAGGGTAGGACCCAGGACTGTGGGTAACATGCTAGGGTAGGACCTAGGACTGTGGGTAGCATGCTAGGGTAGGACTCAGCACTGTGGGTAGCATGCTAGTGTAGGACTCAGCACTGTGGGTAGCATGCTAGGGTAGGACTCAGCACTGTGGGTAGCATGCTAGGGTAGGACTCAGCACTGTGGGTAGCATGCTAGGGTAGGACCCAGCACTGTGGGTAGCATGCTAGGGTAGGACCCAGGGCTGTGGGTAGCATGCAAGGGTGCGACCCAGGACTGTGGGTAGCATACTAAGATAGGACCCAGGACTGTGGGTAGCATGCTAAGATAGGACCCAGGACTGTGGGTAGCATGCTAGGGTAGGACCCAGGACTGTGGGTAGCATGCTAGGGTAGCATGCAAAGGTAGGACCCAGGACTGTGGGCAGCATGCTAGGGTAGGACCCAGAACTGTGGGTAGCATGCTAGGGTAGGACCCAGGACTGTGGGTAGCATGCTAGGGTAGGACCCAGCACTGTGGGCAGCATGCTAGGGTAGGACCCAGCACTGGGTAGCATGCTAGGGTAGGACCCAGCACTGTGGGTAGCATGCTAGGGTAGGACCCAGCACTGGGTAGCATGCTAGGGTAGGACCCAGCACTGTGGGTAGCATGCTAGGGTAGGACCCAAAACTATGGGTAGCATGTTAGGGTAGGACCCAGGACTGTGGGTAGCATGCTAGGGTAGGACCCAGAACTATGGGGTAGCATGTTAAGGTATGATCCAGGACTGGGTAGCATGCTAGGGTAGGACCCAGCACTGTGGGTAGCATCCTAGGGAAGGACCCCAAGACAGTAGGTAGCATCCAAGAGTAGGACCCCCTTGGACTGCAGGTAGCATCCTATGGTTGGACCCTAACATTGTAGGTAGCATCCTAGGGTAGGACCCCATGACCCCCAGGACTATGGGTAGGACCACAGGACTATGAGTAGGACCCCAGACAGTGGGTAGCATCCTTAGGTAGGACCCCGAGACAGTGGGTAGCATCCTAGGGAAGGACCCCAAGAAATAAATGGTACTTCGCAGTTGGGTTATCATTCCTGTGATAAGCAACACTAAGGATATCAATCAGCATTCTGACCCTCTGGATCACCACAATCAAGCACTGCAACACTGATGTAATCATCAGTGAACTTCTTAGTAGTTCAATGAGTCTAAAACTTGACCTAAAAATTATAACACACATATCAATAAATTTCTCTGGGAGATCAATTTTTTTGTGTAAAGAGCACATAAGAAATGCGAGAATATATATTATATACACATATATAGAGTGAGGGATATAGGAGAGCTGCGAGTGACCTGTACATGGAATAATTTAATTTGTCATTATTATTTTTTTATTCCTTGGAAGTTCCACAGTTGTGGGGACGTATATGTACGTCAAAGTATAAGAGAGCCACATAAAGCTGGTTGATAATCCTTCTATAGCCTTGCTGTACACTCCAAGCAATCACAACATATATTTAATTTACATAAAGTTCATGTGCAGTATACATACATACATTGAAAACAGTATTTATACAACTAGCACAAGATATATACACTGAGCAGGGTATATACTAAGAACAAGGTATATACAATGAACAGGATAAATACACTGAGCTTAATATATACATTGTATATAGGGTATTAGCAATGAGCCCATGTTATATAAACTGAATACATGTATATACAATATGTGTGATATATATACATTGATCATATTGTATATACAATGAGCATATAATATATACATTAAGCATAAGGTATATACACTAAACACTACATACACTAGGCAAAGTGCTTTAAAAATTAATATATATCATATATTCACGGGAAAGTGCTAAACCCGCAGGGATGACACAGCACTTAGGGAATGTGAAGTTATCAGGTGTGATCTGAGGAAGAGTAGAGTACTCCAATTCCTCAGATCAAGAACTTTCCTCGTCTTTGTACAAATGGAACGTCTACTTTCCAACGAGTTATATAGGTTAATTTATAGCTATTATACATATACTATACATTTAAGTTAATTAATGTAAAAATATATATAAAATAGAGATAATTCACAAACAGAAACACATAGCTCGAAGGTAGTGTGCTCTATTTACAACAGAAGGGACCTGGGTTCGATTTTGGAAAAGTCAAAAGTATACGTAAGTCTCTTCATATTTGCTGCCAATGTTTTCATGTAGCAGTATATGAGTACTATATGTAGGAGTTAGTTGGATCTTGTGGACAGCATCATAGGGTAGGATCCGAGGACTGTAGATAACATCCTAGGGAAGGACCCCTAGACTGTGGACAGCATCACAGGGAAAGACCCCAAGACTATGGGTAGCATCCTAGTGTAGGACCATAAATAAGACTGGGTAGCATCCTAGGGTAGGACCATAAGACTGTGGGTGGCATCCTAGTGTAGGACCATAAAACTGTGGGTAGCATCCTAGGAAAGACCCCAAAACCATGTGTAGCATCCTAGAATAGAACCCTAAGAAATCAATGGTTCTTCACAGTTGGGATAAAACACTGATGTAGTATATACACTGGATCTCTTAGTAGTTCAATAAAGCTAAACAAAACTGGGCATTAATAAATTACAAAATAAAAGGACCCCAATGGAAATAAGTCACTCTGTCCGACTTTTTTTTTTTTTTTGATTGCCCTAGATTCTCTGCCCATAAGCTGCTTTGTATGGTAATCAATATAACTGTATTTGTGTATACTTGAATAAACTTAAATTAACTCAGAGAAAATGCAGAATGAATACTTCATTAAATCAGGTTTCTCTCCAAGATAAGTTTTTCCAAGCCTATGTGAAACACATGAGAAACTTAGAAATATATGTATGTAGAGTGATGACTCAAATGGGATACAAATGACCTAGCTAGCATGTGAAACAGGAGTAGATGATGAAAATTCCTTGGAAGCATGACAGTGGGGACGTATATATACGTCAGGTGTTTAACAGAGCTACATAAAGATGATTGGTATCACACTATAACCTCGCTACTCATTCAGAGCATCAGTACATATTATTTCACACAAAGTTCACATGCACTGAACATTTTGTACAGTAGAAATGGAAAGTACTTTAATTAAATGTTGAATATATTTTCTCCCAGTGATTGAATCATTTCATGTGTGGTAGATACAAAGTCCATATGTATAGTATTCCACATTACCCTGGTCAAAAAATTAATTCTTAATTACTTTAGATAGTTTGTCGAGCTCTAGAGCTCGACATTGTGAATATAATCATGAAGGAAATATAATAATAATAATAATAATAATAATAATAATAATAATAATAATAATAATAATAATAATAATAATAAATAATAATAATAATAATAATAATAATAATAATAATAAATAAAATTAAGAGTAACAATAATGTGAGTGCTCGTTGCTTGGTTGGTAACCTCCTATGCTCACACACTGAGGGACCTAGGTTTGCTCCCTGGCATGGGTGAAAACGTTGGATATGTTTAATAACATCTGCTGTCCCTATTTACCTAGCAGTAAATAGGTGCCTGGGTGTTAGTTGACTTTTGTGGGTGGCATCCTGGGGGAAAAGATTCAATTCAATTCAAAGTTTATTCTCTATA